CAGAAGGAGGGAGAGACTGAGAAATTAAGGCAGAGCAAAAGCAAAAGTGTCTATAGAATGGGAAAGAGAAAAGCTACAGAGTAAGAAAGGATAAAAAGGATAAAAAACAGTTAAAGCTGGCACTAAGCATTAGAAGTTTTCAGAACTAGCTGTAATCTTAATTTCTTCATCAGGCTTTTAATTGAATCTATATTGCTATGTTCCTGTTTTGGATTTAAGGTGTTATAATGCTGTGGTTTTTATTGCAATTTTGTATTCTGCTTTGATGGTAATAATGAAAAGCAGATATTTTATAAATAAATAAATCAGCTGAGCCAAAATATTCTTAGGGGAATCACTTGAGAAATTTGACTATCTTAGCTACAAGTGAGGAAATGCCAAATTTCAGAGTCCAGTAGTAGCTTTTAAGACATTTAAGCATTTTTAAATATAAGCCATAGGATTTTGCCAGCCAAGCCTTGGATACATGGAGTAGCTTAATGGATAGATTCAGCCCACCTCATTAATCCTAACATATAATAAAATCTGGTAGTATTAAAAGGTTTTATAGAGTCTTCCTGGAATTTGGTTATCATAGGCTATCTTGACTGTCCTGTTACATTAAAGAAATGAATGGTATTCAAGGGTTAGAGTTAGAATATGCACATAATGCAGGCCTCAAAGTTGGGGCAAGAACATAATTCTCAGAACACACAGAAGTTTCTGTATAATCACCTTCAGTTTTCACCAGTGAACACAGAAAGCTTCATGAAAAGATATTACGGTGCCTGCAAGCAACAGGATGGTATTCCTCCATCTCTGTTTATGAATTTTTGTAGCATTCAATTGGGCTCACAGTGCAACTGGGGAGAGGATCAAATTTCTGGAAAGATATCATCAAGCATTTTGTATGAGTCTGCCTTCCATTGAGCACCTGTATACCGCACGAGCCAGAAAGAAGGCTGTGAAAATATTTACAGACCCCTCACATCCTGGACATAAACTGTTTCAATTTCTTACCTCAAGATGATGCTATAGGGCATTGCATGCCAAAAAACAACTGGACAGTTATTTCTCCCATGCCATCACTCTGCTACATAACTAATTCCCACCACACTGTCAAACTACCTAGTCGGGCTGTATTACTATTATCCTTCTTGTCTTTCCTATTATCTATTTCCATATCTTCTTTTTAAAAATATTTTTTTTTAAGTTTTACAAAATAAAAAAAAACACGAATCATGTTTACAATTTTTGCAATTCGTTGTAGTATCGGTTTTTCCCATCTTCTGTTATTCATATCTATATACAGTACATATATACTTTGTTCATATTTACCTTATACATTATCTATTATTCCTGATATCTACCCAAGCATACAGTTTCTCCCAGACCATATAGAATTCTCTTTTTTCCTTCTCTTGCAACTCCATAGTAAGCTTATTTATTTCCACACAATCTATAATTTTTTAAATTAACATATTATCCTCCTGTTTCCAATTTTGAGCATAGGCTATTCTCGCTGCTGTCAGAATATGTATTATAAGATATTCAATTTCTTGTTTATACTTGCCTCTAACTATCCCTAATAAAAACATTTCAGGCATTTTCATAGAGTCGAAAAGCAGGATTTACTCAGTTAAAGGGCTAGGCAGATTATTTATTTAGTTCTACTTCTTCCTTTAGGAGCTTCTAATGGCTTACCTAATATCCCTTTCCTCATTTTGTTTTCAACAGTCTTGGCAAGAATCTTGAGGTGAGAAGGACTCACTGTCTTAAAATCACCCAGTGATTATGTGTTTATTTTTGATTGTAGTGTTTATGATTAATGCTATGTTTTGTTATATGTTACATGTTATAAATTAATATTAGATATAAATTCCTTCCATTAATACAAGGATGAAATGCATTTTGACTTATAAGAAAATATGCAAATTATGGAAATTATGCAAATGGTTTCTCAACATACCTTGTTGTCTCAGACTAATTTTATAGGAATTAAAGTTTGTGCAAGATTCAGAAAATTATGTATTTGAGTTCATTGGGAACTCAAATAGAAAACTGTTTTTTTCTGTAAGCCATAAATCCTCTAAGCTGTTGATCATAGAGGCTAGTTTGCTATAGAATAGAATAGCATTCTTTATTGGCCAGGTGTGATTGGACACACAAGGAATTTGTCTTGATGCAAATGCTCTCACTGTACATAAAAGAAAAATATATTTGTCAAGAGTCAAGAATCATAAGGTACAACACTTAATAATAGTCATAAGGTACAATAAGCAATCAAATCATACTAGGAAACAGTCCATAAAAATCATTACAAGCAATTGGTTGTATTGGTTAAGACACCAGGCTGGGAACTGAGTCACGTCTTAGGTACAAAGCCAACCGGGCCGGTCCCTCTATCTCAGCTCTAGGCAGAAGGACACAGGGAGAAACCATTTCTGAAATCGTACCAAGAAAACTGAGGATCAATTCCAGACAGTTCCCTGGAATTATGGCTGATGCGAAAGTACAAAATAAAAGAACCGAAAAGTATGTTTTCATGAGGGTGGTACTGCAGATACTTTATGATTGTTTTCGGTTTCTAGGACGTTGCAATATCTGAAGACTTTTTCTGTTTCAAGAAGGAAACTGGTTTCCATGGATTTCTCTGCCAGCACCGCTCTTCTCTTGACTATCTCCTGCTGCCTGTGGAATACCGAAGCCCGAGAGTGTTCATTCATGCTCAGTGTGCTAAATGGGGGTTCCTGGGGTGAATGGGGTCCAGGTTCATTTTGCGATGAAGGCTATGCTAATGGCTTCTCCCTGAAGGTAAAACATTATTTTTCAGATGCTCCTTAACTTCTGAATCTTCTCTTGAAATTAGTTCTTCAGCTTATCTTTCAAGAAAGGCAATCAAAAAGTAATTGCATTGATGCTTAACCCTCTTCGATTCTCTAACGAAAGAAAGGCATTGAGTTTTGTGTGGAATATTGTGTGGCCAATCTAATCTTGATTCAATGCATTGTCCAATATTTATGGGTACCGGAAGGGGAGAAAGGTTGATTTAGAACTTCATCAGGGTCATATTTTCTTAGGTGGAAGAAAAGCAAGGGGGAAGTGACGATACAGCTTTGAACGGAATCCGCTTGTACTGTACCAATGGCACAACAATTGAGTCTAAAGTTGGACAGTGAGTAACTGACTTTTTAAAAATCATATTGCATTTTCTTGTCATGAAGAATGGGAGAGGAGATGACTAGTGGTTAATTCAATGCTACCCAATTCTGAAAATCAATTTTACTGAATTCAGAAGGGGATGCAACTGAATGGGTTGTTTAATGGCCTCTCTAAATGAGCAGCTGATCGGAGATTTTTGTGTTCCTGAGTGTTGCAGTGGGGAAGCAACTAGTTTGTGGGCCATTGTAAGTGTATTTCTTTTGCTGCCGTCTGTTGTTCTTCCCTCATATGCATTCATTCCCACAAGGTCCCTTGTGGACATTAGTCACCCACAAACCTCTCCCATTTTGCAGTTTATGAATCTATTTGCCCTTCTTATAACTCTGGACTGCAGAGACATGGACTGCAGTGTTGAGCTATGTGTGCAAGAGTTATTTATGAAGGATAGGAATGTTGTTGTTAATGTCATATACTTGAATCCTGGGCATAGCCCTTCAAAAACAAATGCCAGGCTCTTCAGTCGCCATGTTAGGGAAATGTTTTTACCAGATTACTGGGGTTACCTAGCCTAGATGGTAACTGTAATATTTGCAATACCTTTTACCTATTTATCCAATTATCTAAATAGGTCCATTGCAAATGAAGGTCTCAGAAATCAAAGTGCCTCAAATCAGGATTAGGGGAAAACTGGACATCTAAGATGTTCCAAAAAATTTTATTGCAAAATCCTCACTCCCCAAAGAAAACCATGAGGAAGAGTGACATAACAGCCCAGGGGAGAATTCTAGCTTCCTGTGGAATGTTGTATTTAATGTTAAAAGGTAACCCCAGACTTCCACTAAGAAAATGAGGCACTGGATTTCCATAGTGGATTTTCTAGTTAAACAATGACTCACCTCTTTACTGGTGGGTAATAAAAGGAAAAGGTCTTTTTTTTTGAGGGGAAATGGTTCTTATAAAAGTGCAAGACAATTTGTGGAATGAGAAGTCCCTGTTGTAATGGATTCTGAACATGACATGGATTAAGAGAAGTCTTGGGAAAGAGATCAAGGGAAGTATTTTTTATCCCATTTTTCCTAGGGGTTTATGGCAGTAGCCAGAAGACCCCTTTTCCAACTTTTTTTCTACATTAGCTGAAAAATTTAAATTGAATTATTGACAATTATTTAATGAATTTTGATAGCCAAAAGTAGACTTTAACTTGATTCGTAACCCAGGATATTAGCCAGTATGTCTGAATCTCTTAGACTGGTGACATGTTACATACTGGTTACATACTAAAGTGATGCTTATCCTTCTTTCTCTTTTTTGGCAGGTGGGGAACCTGGACCAAAAAACAATTCTGCCCCACAGGTTACTTGATTTCTTTTTCTCTGAGAGTGGAAGTAAGTCAACAAATGGGTGATGATACAGCAGTTAACAACATCCAGTTCACCTGCAGTAATGGTGATGTCCTGATGGGCCGTGGCTTGAGCTGGGGTGAATGGGGTCCATGGAGCCATCAGTGCCCGTCAGGTGGCATATGTGGGATGAGAACAAGAGTGGAGGATGCACAGGGTGTTGGTGATGACACAGCTCTCAATGATGTGATTTTTCTCTGCTGTTAATGGTTGATACTGGTTTCCATACCTACAAATATACTTTTGCTATGCATTCTCAAAGACTGTTAATTATAGTTAAATAGTAATATTATAATAAAGGGTGTGTTTGTGCATAAACAATCCAGATTGGAGGGGCATAAGCCTCAAGCATTGCAAGTGACTAACTGTCTTCCCTCTCATCATTTTGATCCAAGTCACAGGACTGAGCTATAATACCATATAACTGCTTGCTTGCATGCAAATAAAATTAATGTTGCGTCTTCAAAGCCATTTATTTCTTTCAATAAAGCGTCTGCAATTCCGATTGAATGGTGGGCAATGGAATTTATATTCTTTGAAGTCATCTGGTTGTTTGTAACTCTGAAGGTCCAGTTGCTTTTTGAAAATATTTTTGGGACAGTCATGACTTGGATGACAGAGAATCTCCATAAACATTTATCTATCCAGTAGTATTTTAGTTGGGGTATCAGGAGCTTTGCTGCATTTTATATCAAATTCACTCAATTCTTCATTAGGTGAATTAAAACCATATGTTTGTTCTATGATAGGCACATTTTTAGCTAGGATCAGTTCTCGGGTGCCAACGATAGTGTAGCTGAATCTTCATTTAAAGTGTTGACAGCATCTTTTCTTCCATTTTGGTTTTGAAATGATCAGGGTGGTGAGAAAGGGATGAGATTAAACTGGCATCCTCAAATCACATAGATTTAATTTATCTGTTTATTTCAGTTCTTTTTCTCCCATTTTACATTCTGCTTTTAGCCCTAGAAAGATAAGTGAAGCAGATCACCATGCTTTAAGACTCAGTGGAAATTAATCCAGACAACTCAACTTATTTGACAAAGTGTGGTAAATGAAGCCAATGTCAACCTATTTACAGGACTGTGTTCATTTGGGAGTCCCGGATTGGTGGGTTCTGAACCAATGGGGAGGAGTGTTAGATATTTGAATACTGACCTGTGATTGGCTGAACCGCGGAAGCGGGAGAAGCAAACCTCTCTCAATGGCTAAAGCTGTGGACAGCTCCATTTAAAAGGAGCTTCCGTGGCTAGAGTTCCTCAGTCCTGTACGGAAGCAAATAAACAGTATTACTGATCTGAGCATCCTGCATCGTCACCCCATCTGCGATTTAACACTTAGAAATAAAATAAAATAAAAGAAGACTGAAAGCAGATACGATAACAAGGTTCCAAATCTATAACATTGTCATATAGAGGGTCTGTATTTGTTCTCTGACATCTTGTAGAACAGGAGCAGAACCACTGGATTTAAAGTATCAGAAAGAGATTATTGTTGTTGTTGTTGTTGTTGTTGTTGTTAGTCATGAAGTCATGTCTGACCCATCACAACCTTATGGACAACATTCCTCCTAGCCTTCCTGTCCTCTACCATCCCCCGGAGTCCATTTAAGCTCATGCTGGCTGCTTCAGTGACTCCATCCAGCCACCTCATTCTCTGCCATCCCCTTCTTCTTTTGCCTTCAGTTGTTCTCAGCATTAGGCTCTTCTCCAGTGAGTCCTTCCTTCTCATTAGGTGGCCAAAGCCAGAAAGAGATATGGTTCTCCAATTAATTAGGAAAAATTTCCTAATGGAAAGAGTTATCAGCCAGTGGAAAAGGTTGATTCAGAATGTGGTGAGTTCTTTCTCATTTAGAGTTCTTCAAAAGATAGCCAAGATAGCCATCTGTCCAAAAACCATTTGTTAGCAACTCTGTCCATGCAGGAAATATAGATGTACTGTGATATCTCTTCAACCTCTAGGTTTCTGTGCTGTTGCCTTGAACAATTTAAATAAAGAGGAAGACTATCAAATGTCATCTATGTGACAGTTAACTATTAGTTGTAGCCATTCCTCTCTTTTTCAAAATCATCTAAATTGTCAGCCACAGCCCCGTCTAATTGCATTGTATGCCACAATGTAACACATTCGTTTTTATAACAAAAATCTGCTTTTCTCCAGTGAGTCTTTCCTTCTCATTTGGTGGCCAAAGTCAGAAAGAGATATGATTCTCCAATTAATTAGGAGAAATTTCCTAATGGAAAGGGTTATCAGCCAGTGGTCACAGTCTGGTGAGTTTCTCCTCTCTCAGTGGCCAGCTCGTCGCTTCTTCTGTTCTGGCCATAGTTATTCCTCTGGCTTCTGGTCTGACTTGCCCTGGGTATGCAGTGGTGAATTTGGAGGCTTCTGGCATTGGCTAATCAGCTGGGATGCCCTTCAGGCTCTCACTATATGTTCCTATCGGTCACACCTCTAGCAGATTGTGTCCTGGAACTGGCATTCTGACTGGAGGTGGTTTCTCTCGCACCTGGCACACCAGAAGTTTTCCCTTCCTTTCTCTTGCTTCTTTGGGGCTCTCACTGACCATAGTTGGTGGATTTCTTCATCCTCCTCTGAATCCGGCTCCGATTCAACGTCTTTGTGGTGTATGACAGCAGTTTCTTTTGGTGGTTGCTGCCTGTTCATCTTTTTCATCACTGCAGAAGATTGTTGCAAGGCTTTGATGGCGGAGGCTTCCCCCAGAGCTTCTTTGAAGGTTATTTTTGGCTTAGTGAGTAACTGGCTCCAGAGGTTTATATCTTGGAGTCCCAGAACCAGGCAATCCCTTATTGCCTCATCCACATTTAGGAACCACAAGCAGCAGCGATTTCTCTTAGTGTGGCCATGAAGTCACTGATGGTTTCTCCTTCCTTCTGATCCCATTTGTAAAATTCATGTCATCGTATTAAGGACGATGCTTGCAGAGTGTAATGCACCCTCAGGATTTGTTCCAGGTCTGGCCAGGCCATTGCTTTCAGTTCATTAGATGATGATAGTTCCTTGGCCATTTTGAATACCGCGGGCCCGTAGTGTGTTAAAAAGACGGTTCGTTTCCTCTGTTCCAAAATATTGAGGGGATCGTTCACTTCCAGGAACATGTGGAAAAGGTCTATATAGGAATCCCAGTCTTCCCTTGTTGGGTTGAAGGGTGCTGGAGGGATATTTGATCCCGACATCTTGTTGGCCGGTTCATTGAGCAATGACCGACGATGCCATGTGGTTACTGGATGAGCTGGTCCTTTGTTGATTCAGGATCCCACCTTTGTCACCAGTGTTAGATCGTGGGCAGAGTGAAGACGCAGGATGCTCAGATCAGTAATACTGTTTATTTGCTTCAGTACAGGACTGAGGAAGTCTAGCCACAGGAAGTCCTTTTAAAGGGAGCTGCCCGTGGCTTCAGCCATTGACAGATGTTTGCTTTTCCCGTTTCTGTGGTTCAGCCAATCACAGTTTAGTATGCAAATATCTAACACTAAGCATATATATATATATATATATTTTCTGTCCCTGTTCTGGAATATTATCTGCATTAGACCATCCTGGATTCCAATAATGAGCTCCAGCTCCTATTTGCTTCCTACCATCCCACTTATTTGCAAAGGAAACCACAATATTTTTTTAAAGCCTATGCTCCCTATATAGATTTGTTTGGCTGAATTTGTCTACAACCCGCCATGGACAGGTATTTTGTGCAATCTAGATGGTCACAAATCTTTCCTATCAATTTAAGGTTAGGAAATATGGAGGCAGAATTCAGCATGCCTCTTCTTTCTTCATATTTTTTTTCTCTTTTCTTGTCTTTCTTTCTATTTTTTTTGCAGATAGACAAATTTCCAAAAATGTCCCTTAGATAGACAAAAGTCTTAGGGTTAACAATGAACTCAATATTAAGCCAGAAATTTAAGTGGCCAATCAGTGAATATTTTCTTTCACAAATCTCTATCACTTGAACCAGGTTATAGGCTAGTTGCTGTATTTAGCAACAAATGTAATTTCCACTACTGGATGATATGGCAGCTAAAACTTATACATTTTAAAACAACTGAAAAGCCTTGGACTGAATCAAGATCAGAAGTCATAATCCCACTTTATGGTCTGTTGATCTGGCTATTCCAAGAATATTGCATTTAGTTCTCAGCACTCTATTTTTGTAAGAATATTGATGAACTGAATGTACAGAAGAAAGCAATTGCAATCTTTTTTTGTTGTTGTAAATTTTATTTGAGTTTTCACAAAGAGAAAAAAAATACAAATAAAATATCTTTTTTGAAAGTAGCATAATCCTGGGTTACATTTCTTCGTACAGACACAAATTCAGGTTCATGCTCATTTTTATATTCTATTCCATATCTTATTACTATTTTACATTTTCTGCATAGCTTCTCCCCTCTTTTAATTTTCTCAAGTTTATTTTAATTATCTCATCTCAATTCAAATCATTGTATTTATATTTTTTGTCTGTCCTGTTTCAATTATCTATTATCTTTTCTCATTAAACAAAATTTCTCCTGTAGTTACTGATTGGAGTATGACGCCTTTATATCTTTTCCCTAAAGTTGTAACATTCAATATAATACATAACTTCCATTCGGATTCTGCTTGGTACATTCTTAAAATACACACTGTATTCTTAAAAAAAGAAAAAATTATAAATGTATATAATTAAAACAACATTCCATTCCAATTCAATTCTATCATTAATATTAATATTCATTAAAGTCTTAACATCTTTAACATTACTTTTCAATTAAATATCATACTTCTATGGGAACAATTATAAGTTTTCCATAGTTAATTCCCCCCCCTCTTCACTTATATTTTATAAAACATTAACTAATTAAAATGTTCCTGTTCCTTCCTAATTCAATTTTCTCATTTATTTTATTTCACTTATTTTATTCACAAACATTTCACTAAATTACACTAACTCTTTTATCCCTCATTTCAATCATATGTTGTTTCCAATTTTCTAAAGTTATTTCTGTTACTATTATAACAATACAATCTTATGTACTTTTACAGAATCCCTTTTTCAGTTAGATTTTCACCCATTATCTCTAAATAGGTCCTGTTTCTCTATATCTTGCTCCGGTCCTTTGTAACTTCTTTTCCTTTCCTTCTTCCCTCTCTTCTTCTCTCTCCCCTTTCCCCCCCTTTGTCTCTCTACCTCTATTTCTCTCTTCTTTTCT